CAGCAATATATCAATGTAACTAGAGTTTACTGCGTACTATTATGTATGATTAAATACTATCCAGCAGAATAATTACAGCATCATTAAATATATCCTATAATTCCTAGGCCCCATCCAAGACCTAGGAGCAGGGACTAAGAATCTAGCCTTTCAGGCTCCTCCCGGATGTGATGCTATTCCTAAGGCTAATTGCCTCTCGCTTGACCAGCAGCAGGGGGACCCAGGTGCTCGGGCCAGGCCAAGTGGCTGTCGCTCTGGGATAAAAGGCTGGCGGAGCAGGAAGTCCCTACACTACCCACTCCACAACCTCAGGCAGAAACGCCAGCTGCAGCCTTGCTGGTCCCGGGGCCCAACGAATTTTACCCAGAGCTGATGGGTGGGCTCTGGCTTTGGGACCCTGAGAGGCCACCCTTTGATTCATGTAGTACAAAAGAACGACACTTGCCTTACATTTTTTTCTTCACTTAAGTTTTCTGTCTTTTTTAAAGGTAAAGGATGAGTCATGCATAGGACCAGGGTTAGTGTCAGACCAAGTAGGTGAGTGGTTTGTTTTTGGCATCACATTCCAACCCCATCCCTCAGGTACCCATTGCCCTCACGTGGCAGTGGACCCCAGAACCCCTCTCTGTGGCACCCTTCCCTGGGAAGTACTGCATTCTCTGGCACCTCTTCCAAGACTTCTGCAAAAACCTAAATATGCAACAAGCAAGGCATTAGGTGTTGATAAAATTATCATAAAGACTGAATAGGAATTTAGGAACTACTTATATAAGAATATGAAATAATATGTATTATTAAGTGTAGAAACTATCAACATTATTAGAGCTATACAAATATGAAAAACAAAACAATATGCAAAAAATAAAACTTGCACCCTGGCCTGTTTCGCTCAGCGGTTAGAGTGTCAGCCATGGACCAACGAGTCGCCCGCTCTATTCTGGTCAAGGGCACTTAACTCCGTTGCAGTTCCTTCCCGGCCTGGTCGGGGTCGTGCAGGGGACAACCAATAGATGTGTCCCTCTCACATCGATGTCTCTCTCTCTCTCTCTCTCTCTCTCTCTCTCTCTCTCTCTCTCCCCCTCAGTCCCTCCCTCCCTCTCACTCTATCTGAAGATAAACAGAAAAATATTCTCGGGTGAGTGTTAAAAAAAGAAGAAACTTGCAAGAGTGGTGACCACCTTTGTTTCCTTAGGACTTTTTAGACTGTGTTGTAGTATTACAATTATTAAAAACCACCTTTCTACTGCCCCTCTTCCTCTCGGAATTACAAGATGATGAGCCATGGTTAGGACTGAGACCTTCAATAACAGCTGAGAAGTCACCAACCTTGAAAGGTCAAAACACATCCCCAGTGAAGTCAGCAATCGATGGGCTGGCAGCTCTGAGAGCAGCCCGTTCTCAGCAACCAGAGCCCCAGCGGCCTGGCTGAGCAGCCTGCTGATGGCCTGAAGCAGAGGCCAGTGAAGATGAGCTGCCCCTAAGCAGCTGCTTGAGAGGCAGGCTGGGTGAACTCTGTGCTACATGGTGTGAAGGGCTCAGAATCTTATATATCAAATAAAATAGAATTTTATTTCTGGTTGAGCTACACTGAGTCAATTCATGCCTCATCTCACGCTCCACTCCACCTCCAGCCTCTGCTGTACGCGGATGGAGGGACAAGTAAGCTGGAAAGTCGTCTTCCTTTCACAGCCTGGGAGGTGAGGGGAGCTGTCTGTGCTAACTGCCTATAAATATATCCCATGGAAATGCCGGGGGTACCCCCTCCGGGTGGAACTGCAGAAACAAGTGGTGGGGTTATGCAAGGAAACACAGTCAGAGAAATAGTCTTCTGAATGTTAAGTTTTCACAGTGAACTCAGTGATTACATCATCTTTCCTTGTGGGGGAGAGAGCAATAGAAGAGAATGCTGGCTCCTGAGATGTTAAAGGGAGATTTGGAGAACATTGTTGGAAAGAGGAAGCCAATGTGGAGTAATGGGGGGAGGGGGGATGGACGCTTGTGAACTGGAAGAGCCTTAGTACCATAGTGATGTTGGGTGTTGTGGGGAAGAGAGTGGAAGAAGATGAAGAAAGCATCTTTGTCAGAGAAAAACAATAGGAGGTACAGTCTCTTTGTGATGATTCCCTTTCAGCCTTTAGCTCTTTCAATTCCCAGGAATCCAAAGAATATAAGTACTTTGTCATTGAGTTAATTTCAGCCATGGGTCTCAAGGATGGTTCTGTAAAATGGAGGCAATTAACTAAACAAAAAGTTGCTGGCTCACAGATAAAACTTGAAACAGCGATGCACTGAAATAAAAAATGCAAATTTCACATGGAGTCTCAAGACTGTAAGGTCTGTTCAAGCTTCTTCCTCCTATGCACAGCATCTGTAATCTGACAGGAGGTATGCCACGGGATCAAGCTTTGGCCCTCTTAGCACCGTGGTAAGACATATCCTGGGCACGAATAGAAAAGAGAGGACTATCTTTACACTTTCTCTATAAACACTATAATTCTTAATTCATGGCTACTGGTTTATTATTCAGTAAATTACCCTTACTCATTTAAAGGCAAGGAACCTATTTTGTACATATTTATCTTCAGAATTTAAGTTACTAATACCTACATAACAAATTCAAGTGAAGCCTTAACATAAAATAGTTTCTAAAGAAAATATAGCACAATATACCAAAACTTATTGGATGCAGCTAATGCAGCGCATAGAGAGCAACTTATAGCTATAAATGCATGGAGGTTCTAGCCAGAAAATTAGACAAGAAAATGAAAGAAAGGGCACCCAGATTGGAAAGGAAAAAGTAAATAAAAATTAATACTGCAAGTATAAGTGTTACGAGTTAAATTGTGTCCCCCAAAAAGTTATGTTGAAGTCTAACCCTCAGACCTAAGAATGTCACCTTATTTGAAATAGGACAATTGTAGATGTAATTAGTTAAGATGAGGTCATACTGGATTAAGATAGGTCCTTAGTTCGATATGGCTATATCCTTAGAAGAAGATAAAACAAAGAAACACAGGGAGAAGGTCATGCGGTAACAGAGGCTGGGAATGGCCTTCTAGGCCAGGCAAGGAATGCCAAGGATTATTAGTGACGGCAGAAACTAAGGGAAAGGCCTGGCATATTTTCCCCTAGAGCCTTGGGAGAGCACGCCCTGCTAAACCTTGATTTCAGACTTCCCTCCTCTAGACCTGTGAAAGAATACATTTCTGTTAAGCTACCCAAATCTGTGGTAATTTGTTACAGTAGCCCTAGGAGACTAATACAATAAGTAAATATCTTCTCCCATTGACCTGAAATAAGGAAACTGCAAGAAAGGTAGGATTCTCCTGATAGGCAGAAAGACATCCGTGTTAGCGGCCACATCCCTACCTGCTTTGGTCAGGAGTAGACCTCTGCTCCTTTGTCTATGGCCAAGGTCTCTAGGCTCAGGGCCGCCCACACTACGCAGCTCAGAAAAGTAACTGGACTCTCACTGACTCTCTGACGTACAACATCATGGCAGACTCTGTTTGGGTGTTTACCCAATGTCTTTCCCCCATTTCTTCCTCAACAAACAGAGCCTCAGTACTGCAGGGGCCTACCTGTTAGAGAAGACAGCCCTGTCTCCGCCTCAGAGATAAGCCCGCTCCGTCTAAGTCAGTCCAGGCACCCCTTCCTCGTGCCAATGACCGCTTCAAGGATGGGCAAGTGAGGGCAACTCTGCTGGAGATCTTTCTGCAAACGGTTTTCTTACACTTAGTAAGAGGTTCCTTCTTCTTCCACTGCACATTGTTATATCTCACCCTGAAGTTGGGACTATACCAGGCTTCGTATGCTCAGGAGGAAGGCCAAGGTCCAAGCTGAAATGCTGAAGATGAACAAGGGTACAAGTAGGAAACCAGTTAGAAGGATTTGTAGGTGAGAGATGATTGTGTCTTGGCCAGAGTGGTGACTGTGGAGGTGGAGAGAAGTCACTGAGTTATGGATATATTTTGAAGAGAGTGTCCAAAGGATATGGAGGCTGGATGTGGAGTTTGAGAGAAAAAGATGAGTTGAGGAAGAGCCAAAAGATTTTAGCTCGAGCACCTGGAAGGATGGTGTTGCCATCTGCTGAGATGGGAAAGACAATAGGAGGAGCAGCCTTTGGGTGGGGGGAGCAGGAATTCAGCTTTGAGATGCGACACCCAAGTGGAGATGCCAAAGAGGCAGTTAGATATGCTTGGAATATGGGACAGAGGTCGAGGCTGGAGAAAGGAATGTGAGTCGCCAGCATACAGAGTATTAAAGACATGGGCCCTGGCGGGTTTGGCTCAGTGGTTGGAGCGTCGGCCTATGGTCCAGAGAGACCCGGGTTTGGTTCCCACTAAGGGCATGGACCTCGGTTGCAGTTTGTCCCCAGCCCTGGTTGGGTCATGCAGGTGGCAGTCACTCAGTGTATCCCTATCGATGTTTCTCTCTCTCTCTCTCTCCCTCCCACTCTATCTGAACAAAACATGGAAAAATGTCCTCGGGTGAGGATTAAAAAAAAAAAGACATAAGACTGAATAAAATCACTAAGCTGAAAAAGCAAGTGGAGAAAAGAGACGAGGCCTGAGGCCTGAGGAAGCATGCAGGCTGAGCAGGGACTACCACGTGGATCAAAGGAGAAACAACTACCAACACAAACACATAAGAAAAAACACAAACACGCAAGGTCAATATTTCATTAACTCAATCACTGTTAATAATAATGATAACTTACTACATGTCAGGCTCTGTACCATGGCCTGTATTATCTAACTTAATCCTAATAAAATTGCATTAGCAATTTAAAAATACCAGTGAAACAACTCCAAGGTGCCATCACACAAACCAAAATAACTAAAAGTGGCTGCTCAGTGGGGCTGTGGGGACATAAATGCCTGAACTGTGGCATTTCAGCAGGAGGAGAATCTGTCAGCAACATGACAAGGACTCCAGACCAGCACCTTCTTACCTGACATGCGGAGGAAACGGAACTTTGTCAATACCTTCCTGGAAATGACCCGAGTCGTCGTGAAACAAGCTGCAACACGTTATGCGAAGGAATGGCCATTGCAGCATTAAAAATGACAAGTATGTGGGATGTGTTGATACAGGTAGAGTGATTTGTCTTAGTGATTGCTTCCTTTTGAGGACAGAATTCCAACTAATTAGCTTAAATAAAGGAAATTTTATTATAAGTTTACAGATGTATTTTCAGGCTACTAAGAGCAACAAATATACCCAGGTCTCTCTCTCTTTTTTCAATCCTCACCTGGGGATATGTTTTCATTGATCTGAGAGAAAAGGGAAGAGAAACACTGATGTGAGAGAGAAACATCTATTGGTTACTTCCCATATGCGCTCCAACCCAAGATCGAAACTGCAACCTGGGTATGTGCCCTAATTGGGAATTGAACCTGCCACTTTTGGTGTACAGGACAACACTCAACCCAACTGAACCACCCAGCCAGGGCTAGACACAGGTCTCTTGAAAGACTAGGACAGAAACCTGGAAAGTCATCAGGGACAAGGCAACGTAGCTGAATGATGACAATTCTTACCAAACTCTAGTCAGGCTCCTCCGAGCTCTTCCTCAACTAGACCTCAACCTTGGCCTAGAAAGACTTGAACAAGTACTGCCCTGACTGGTTTGGCTCAGTGGTTAGAGCGTCAGCCTTCGGACCAAAGGGTCTCGGGTTTAATTCCTGGTCAAGGGCACGTACCTGGGTTGCAGGCTCAATCTCCAGCCTTGGTTGGGGTCGTGTGGGAGGCAACCAATTGATGTGTCTCTCACATCATTGTTTCCCTCTTTCTCTCTCTCTCTCCCTCCCTTCTACTCTATAAAAATCAATGGAAGAATAGTCTCAGGTAACGATATTGTCCTTTATCACACATTGCCAACTTCTGGTTTCCATGGTCCTTTGTGTATGACTCCTATCCACACTATGTCCATGAAGCTCAGTGTGTTATTTTGTTAATGGAGGCACAGGAGGGGCTGGGCATCTGTGAGGTATGGGAGATGCAGGACGGCAGGCTGCTAAGCACTGCATTTTCACATCTTTTCTCTTCTGCCTGGAACATGTGTTCCTTCTTCTCTGTGAAATTCCTGTACATCCTTCACAGCCCAGATCAGATGATATTTCCTGTGTAGAGCCACCTCTAATCTGTTAGTCAGAACTAATCCCTGCCTTGGGTTCCTATGGCACATTTTGAATTTATCTATTGTTTTAATAATTACTAGTGCACACATCTGTCTTTCCTCAAGGTCAGGGAACATGCATAATTATCTTTGGCTCTCTAGTATCAATACAGTGCATGGCAAATACATTGTAGGTGTTCAATAAATGCTTGATGACTAATTCAATGTGTGCATTCATTCATTCATTCATTTATTCCTTACAGATTTAACTGGCCGCTAGGGAATAAATATCAGGACTAGTTCAGTGTAGCCTTCCAGCCCAGTGCAGCCTGTGTCAAATGGGAGCACGGAGAGAGGCAGAGGGCTCCCCTCTGTTTCCTGAGGAGAGACTTAAAAATAAGGCAGGAGGCAGAGCATATGTTAGCAGCTAGAGACAAAAAAGACAGATTCCTGCTCTCTGTGACTTTCCTTCTCTAGGCAACTCTATCATTCTTTCTTGCTTCCCAAATTGAATTCTGCTCTGCAACCAGATAGAAGAGATAGAACCAGAGGGAGAGGGAGTCACACATTTTTCTAGTGTTGGTTCCCTATCGCTGCTGTAACAAACCGCCAAAACTTGGCTTTAAACAGCACAATATTATTTTCTTACAGTTCTAGAGGTCAGATGTCCAAACTGAGTTTTACATCGGGGCTAAGTTCAAGGTCTGCTGGACTCTACCCTCTGGAGGCTCTAGGGGAGAATTCCTTGCCTTTCCAGCTTCTAGAGGCCATTCCATTCCTGGGCCTGGGGCCCACACCACCTTGCCTTTTTTCCTCTGCTTCCATCATTCCATCACCTTCGGTCCATTCCAAGCCCCTGCCTCCCTCTCAGAAAGACTTATGATCACATCGGACCTACCCAGATAAACCCAGTGTCATTTCCCCAGCTCAAGATCCTTAACGTAATCTCACCTGCAAAGTCCCCTTTCCCTTTTGTCATTTAGGTACAATTCACAGGTTCCAAGGATGAGGATTTGACCATCTTGGGGTTGGGAGGGCATTATTTGACCTGTTAAAACATGGTAAAGGTGAGAGTCTCCAGCCACAACAAAAAAACCTGCCTCTCCCAAAAGCTCTTACTCGGTATGTCTAGCTTCTTTAACAATTGCAGCAAATTGATGATACAATTGACTCATTGATTATGTATGTAATTTAACCTTGCTGGGAAAAAATAATATGACCCAAACCAGTGCATCGAAACATAATAGCTTAGCTGAAAAGAGAAATATGTGCATTTAGGGTTTACACTCTACCAGGGAAGAATATCATTTATAATGAGCTTCAGAATATAGAACAATAAATGTAATAGTTCAGGAAATTCTAATGCATTGGGGTAATTTTAGAGATAGGATTAACCCTGTCTGGAATGATCTTATTTGTTTACATGTATGTTTCTTTCCCATCATACCCCCCCCCCCAGGAATGTCACTGCCACAAGAACAGGAACCTTAAGTGTCTTATGTCCCTAGGGTCTGGAACAAAGCTTAGAAAATTAATAAAAATATGAATACATTTTTATTATTTATTTGTGTGTGTGTTAATCTTCATCTGAGGATATTTTTCCATTGATTTTTAGATAGAGTGGAAGAGAGGGAGGGAAAGAGAGAAAGAGGGAGAGAGAAACACCAATGTGAGAGAGACACATCGATCAGTTGCCTCCCACATGACCCTAACAAGGGCTGGGGATCAAACCTGCAACCCAGGTAGATGCCCTTGATTGAGAATTGAACCCTGACCCTACAGTGAGAGGGCTGATGCTCTAACTTCTGAGCCAAACCAGTCAGGACAAAATGTGAATACATTTAAAAAATATATACTAATAGCTTTGCATGCATTAAAAAATAAATGACAGCCCTGGCCAGTGTGGCTCAGTTGGTTGGGCGTCGTCCCATGCACCGAAAGGTTGCCAATTGATTCCCGGTCCGGGCACATGCCTGGGTTTCAGGCTCAATCCCCAGTAGGGGGCATTCAGGAGGCAGCTGATCGATGTCTCTCTCTCACATCAACGTTTCTTTTTCTCTTTCTCTCTCAAGTCAATAAAGACATATTTTAAATAAATAAATAAATGGCAAATTGTAATTTAAAAATTAAAAAATTTTAAATAAATGATAATGAAAGACCTAGCATTTGAGTTCCTCTGTATTGACAGAATTTATTTAATGAAATAAAAAAAAATTTTAATATGTAATGTACAACATGAGCTCACATTATGAAGGGAAGGGATGTAATAGGCACAATAGTTTGTATATCGTATCCCTGCAAAATAGAGAGCAGCTTGGAGTGCAGGTCAATGAGTACAAAGGACGACGTCCTGTCAGGCTGGTGTATCTCCATGGCATTAAACAGCAGCTCTGCCTATGTGGACGGGGAGGTAACATGCCATTGCCCTGCCTGCCACCCTGACCTCTGCACATCAAGTAGGCCTGTTCCTTGACCAGGCAGAAACCAGCACCTTGGTCATGCCTGGGGAGGGGTGAGAGCTGCCCATTTGGACTGTGTTTCTGTTCTACATCCTTTGGTATCTCCCATCTCCCAAAGCAGACCTGGCTCCCTCCCTGCAGTGGGATTCCCAGTCAAGGAAGGTGGAGTCACTGCCCCATGGCTCCTCCCTGAATTAAAGCATTTGGCTTCAACCATCTCTGCTAGAAATAGTCACGTGTTCAGCTTCTCTAACCAGATGGACTCCTGGTCTGTATTGTCTGGCGCCACTCACTGACTCACATCAACAGCCAGACTGGTAATCATACAACTGCCCAAAGGGTAACATTTTTTTTTCAAGAATAAGAGAGCTCTTGGCCTGGCCAGTTTTGCTCAGTGGTTAGAGCATCAGCCTGTGGACCAAAGAGTCTCGGGTTCGATTCCAGTCAAGGGCGCCTACCTCTGTTGCAGTTCGTCCCCAGCCCTGGTAGGGGTTGTGTGGGAGGTAACTAATCGATGTGAGCAATGTGTCTCTCTCACATCGATGTTTCTCTCTCTCTCTCCCTAATCCCCAACTCTAACTGAAAATCAATGGAAAAAGATCCTCGGGTGAGGATTAAAAAAAAAATTAAAACAAAAAAATACATATGTATAAAAACCACTGGCTTACCCCTGTACCCAGCTAGCTTTCTTCCTGGCAAACATTTGTGTACACATGTAATTTAATACTCATGCTCCCCAGCATGGCCGGCTGCCAAACCTCCTGGCTGATCTGATACCAGGCATCCCGCTCAGGCCTCCTCAGGAGGCAATGATCTGCTCATGGTCCCGTCTCCCGCAGGAATGGTGAGCGAGTTCCTGATCTGGGTTCTGCCTCACCTTGTTCAACTCCGAGATAGATGCTGCGTTTTTGCCTCTTCCTGTTCTTCCCAGGCCAGTCCAGTCCTGCCTGCTCTTCACTTGGCATACCTGCTGCACTCCAGCTTGGCATAGCTTAGAGGCTGTTGGCTCCAAACCAGGTGCTGTTCATCTGCCCCTCCCAAGCCTACACAAGAGAGACTATAACACCCGCCCCTGCACGAGCCATTCAGGGAATTGTAACACATGGAACCCAGGAATGGCCAGCCCCAGCTCTCTCTGGAAGAGAAGGTGTGTACTGGTCTGCACTGTCCGTCTGAGTACGGAGACAGCCCAACCTTGCACGGTTCAAATCTTGAGTTACCACAACACAGCTCTGTGACTTCAACAAGTCATGCCACCTCTAAGGGCCTCAGTTTTCTCATTTGTACCATAGAGATGATACAATAAAACTGCAACATAAGGTGATGAATAGGGCAAAAAGAGGTCAGTCTTGTCAAATGCTAGGGCCCCTGTTTGAAAAGTTAATGAAATGACTTGATCTCCAGGGTTCTGGTAATGGGAGCCAAATTCTTTCCAGTCTCAGCTGTGGTTTGCTGCCACCTGGGTATTGTTGACTCTGGTTTAAATATTGACAGGCACAAGTACAAATCCTGGCTATGTGCCTGGCTACGGTTCCCAGGGCAGCAGCAATAATTCCAGGACTCTGCTAGTTACTTGAAACCCATTGTGTCATTTAGATTCAGGGAAACTTGGCTGGGAGAATTCTGAGGACACAAGGACACACTCTGCTCCCCCACTTTCCCAGGGGACCTGCAGCCCTCCCCACTCAGCTCGGTCAGAACTTGAGCTCATCTTTGAGAGCAGCAGCTGGGGAAGGGCAAGAACTAGGAAGCAAATGACAATGATGTGATATCTGAATCTGTGTAATTGATGGCTTTTACTTTAAAGCCTATCCTTAGTGTGGTTGTGAGGATTAGCGTTAATATATGAATATGTTATAGTAGTGCTTGCCATGTAGTATTTGCTCATTAAATGAGGTGCTCATTCCAGTTTATTAAACACCTACTATGTCCTGGGCACTATATTGGGTCCTAAGACTATAACAGTAAATAAAATACATGTTGTTTCTGCCCTGCTTACGATTTAGCAGAAATAACAGCTTGGAACAGTGCCTTGGAAGCTATGAAGGTTAAGCTACATCCTATTTTTCTAAAATACCATCTTTCCTTAAACACTTTAAAACACTTAAGATCTTATATGCATATTTTGGAAAAGAATATTTTATCCTCTTCTCTAAAGAAATGGTTCTCAAAAAAAGTCAGTTTTGCTGCCCTGGGGACGGGGGAGCGTGCTACTGGGACCTAGTGGGTGGAGGTCAGGGATGCTACTAACCATCCTACAACGGCACCGGACAGCCCCATGACACAGACTCTCCTGGCCCAACATTTCAATATGCTAAGGGAGGAAACCATGGTCCAGTGGGGACCTGCTTTGTCCGCAGTCCGTTATTTTGGGCAGCAAAGGGAGAGAAACGTACTTCACCCTTATATGTCTTAGGAAAGCTGGCCCCTCTGTGCTGTGCTCCCCAACACTCACCTGTATTGTAGGAGGGAGAGCTGAGGACACTCTTGGGGCACAGAATTGACCTGGGCATCTATTTTCAGAGTATTGAGCACCATAACTGTGTTTTGTGAGTGTTATATTTGGTCCTCTTACAGAAATGAGTTTTCAAACAAAAGCTCCTGGGAAAGACCGTGTGTATTTTTACCCTTTGAAAACCCTACCAAGATATGTCAAGGCCACCAAAGCCAAGTTTTCAGGACATTTGGTGCTCTTTCTTCCTGTTTAAAGTGTTTTAAAAGTGGCCTGGGCAGCCCAGCCGGTGTGGCTCAGTGGTTGAGCATTGACCCATGCACCAAGGGGTCACTGGTTTGATTTCTGGTCAGGGCACATGCCCAATGGGCTGCATCCCCAGTGGGGAGCATGCAGGAGGCAGCCAATCGATGTTCTCTTTCATTGATGTTTCTGTCTCTCTCTCTCCCTCTCCCTTCCTCTCTCTCTAAAATCAGTAAAGAAAAAAAAAGTGTCTGGGCATAATTAATTCAATTTGTCTTTATGGCAGCCCAGACTTCCACTGCGACTGGTTTTGATCTGATGGTTTTTCTCACACATGTGCTGCAAAGCAATGGCATTTTGGAGAAACCAGAGGATGAAGGAGAGTGGGGCAAAGTAAAATGAAGCCAGAAGGAAACAGAGGCAGGAAGGGAGGGAGAGAGGAAGTGTGTGTGTGTGGTGGTGGTGGGGGGAGTGACAGAGAAAACCAAAGGAAAAGGGGGAGGCTAATAAACACAGAAAGAATGGAAATGGCCAGTTTTAACTTTCTCGGTTTCAGGAGTCCAGGTTCCCAGCCCGAGCTTACCTCCTTGTTGTCCATACCACTTCCCCAAAGCAGCACTGGAATCTAGCCTACTTCTCTCTCCTCCAGCTTCTGGGCAGCTCCTGCCTCCTGGCTGGGCTCTGCACACCTCTCTGAAGGGAAGCTAGGGTGTGTGTGAAATTCAAGACTATTTTTCCATTCCCGTTCACCTTGTCATAGTGGATTATCAGTAAATATGCACTGTTGTTGATAAAGCTTGAATATCCATTAGTTAGTACCAGGCACAGGATGTATGAATCATGTTCCCACTCATGTGAGTTGGATGATGATTCAAGCTATGATGTAAATCCTTTGAACTCTGTATTTCACGTCCCATTGGTTGAACAAGCTACATACCTTTTCTCAGAAATTAGATTTGGTTTTAAAATGTGCAAACATCTGATCAGAAATGTGCAAACCACTTCTTCCAAAGCAGTATTTTACTTGGAACTTGTTGCAGGTGTTAAATGTGCTACTACAGATTCTTTGACATAATGATTTGTCTGAGCCCACCTGTATAAGTTACTCCTCTCTCATAAAGTCATCCTCAACAGAAAAGAACAAATTAATCAGAATCACCTGTGATACTTGTGGTTAACAGAATTTTGTGTTCGCTTAAGCATCATTCTTCATGCTTTTAAAAAATTTGCTACTGGCTGAAGCCAACTGTCCTATGGCACTTCCCTAATGTAAACAAGAATTTCATAAAAGCTTCCTGAGATGATATTTCATTGCTTAAACTTGCCTCTGACATAGTAGCCTTCAATAATGAAACGTCTTTACCCTCAAGGTACCTTTCATTCTCTTGAATTTCTCTGTGTTTTTTCTTTCTGTTTTTAAAAATTGTTGACACTATTACCAATATCCCCCATTTCCCTCACTTTGTCCCCCTCCACCCAGCTCCTGCCCCCCTCTAACTTTGGTTTTGAACTCCTTAGAAGTACAGGGAGAGTTTCTTCTGGTTTCCTTATAGCATATTTAATAATCTCCCCATCGCCATGCACACGGCATGTGCTCAGTGTGTTAGACAAGAGAACAAGCAGGGCTTTGCAGAATGGCTTATCAATCCATTTTGCAACTGTCAGGCTGCAGTATCCACGGAGGACCTCTCCTGTTCTCTCTCATCTGGACATTTCCAGGTCTGAGCGCTCTCTCGCCACATCAGTTTCCCTCCAGGTCTAAACGGGGTCATTGTGCTGGAGATTGAAGCAGTGTCCTCCTCACAGGGGCTTCCTGGGCGGCCCAGCGATTCCTCGGTCAGCCAGCACGTCTGCTCGCTCAGCATTCCCCTCCAAGCCCGCTGGTCAGGCCGATTACACGAAGTCCAATCTAGTGAGAGGAATGGAAATGCTGGGGCCTGAAAATTCTTCACTCTTTGTTCTTCTGATGGGTGACAGGATAATTAATCCAAATGAGATGCCGCCTCACCCAGACTATATTTAGTCTAATTGTAGAGCTTTCTTACCCTGAAGGGGGCTGGGATTCCTCCCGAGTAGATAACACGTGCCAGAGGGGAACAGAGGCCGGCCACAGCCACGCCAGAGCGTGCTCTCCCCTTCTCAGAACCGAGGCAGGGGAGCAGCTTGTGTCCAGGATCCAGGATAATTTCTTAATTATCTACTGTCACCATATATTCGGCCCCCTTTATCCTTTACTACCTCCCCCAACCCCTTTCCTCTGGTAACCACCATACTGTTGTCTGTGACTATGAATTTCAATCTTATATTTCACATATGCATGAAATCATATGGTTCTTAACTTTTTCTGATTTATTTCACTTAGCATGATATTCTCAAGATTCATCCATGTTGTTGCAAATGTCAGTTTCATCTTTTCTTATGACTGAATAGCATTCCTTTGTATATGTACCACATCTTTTTTTTTCTTTACTGATTTTAGAGAGAGAGGGAGAGGGAGAGAGGTAAAAACATTGGTGAGAGAGAACATTGATTGGCTGCCTCCTGCATGCCTCGCACTGGGGATTTGGCCCATAACCTGGACAAGTGCCCTGACCAGGAAACAAAGTGGCGACCTCTTGGTGCATGGGTCAAGGCTCAACCACTGAGCCACATCGGCTGGGTTATACCACATCTTCTGGATCCAGTCATCTATTGAAGGACACTTTGGTTGTTTCCATGTCTTGGCCACTGTAAATAATGCTGCCGTGAACACAGGGGTGCGTATATCTTTGTGAATAAATGTTTTCAATTTTGGGGGATAGATACCCAGGAGAGGGATTTCTGGGTCATATGGTAACTCTATTCTTAAATTTTGAGGAACCTCCATACTGTTTTCCATAGTGGCTGTATTAAGTTTGTATTCCCACCAGAAGTGAATGAGGGTTCATTTTTCTCTCCAACCTTTATAACACTTATTACTTTTCTTGTTGATAATAAACATTCTAACAGGTATGAGGTGGTATCACATTATAGCTTTTTTTTTTTATCCTCACCCAAGGACATTTTTCGATATTTTGTTCAGATAGAGTGGGAGGGAGAGAGAGAGAGAGAGAAACATCCACGTGAAAAGGACACATCGAGTGGTCGCCACCCACACAACCCCACCAGGGCTGGGAACAAAGTGTAATCGAGGTCTCTCCAGACCGCCGGCCGACGCTCTAACAGCTGAGCCAAACCGGCCAGGGCTCACATTGTAGTTTTGATTTACAT